CCCACCCCTCGCAGCGCGCACACCACGGCACGAAGTCCTTCTCGTTGGTAGTGCAGCCGATCGCTTGATGTCCACGATGTCCACACCTAAAGCACCGGCCCGGGAACTTATATTTCCCGCCACCGCCGCCATCGGCGCCTCCACTGCTGCTTCCCTTGCTCTCCTCGACTTCTCCGGATCCGCCTGAGCGGCCGCCGCGACCGCCGCCGCCGCCGCCGCGACCGCCTCCGCCGCGGCCACGACAACTGCTGCGGCCACGGCCGCCGCCACGACCACGACCTTGCCCCTGACTCCTACTTGAGTACCGCTCCTTGCGGCCCTCACCGTCGGCGAAGTACGCTTGCTCTGCGCCCTTCGCCCCTTTTCGTTTCCCCTGCTCCAGCTTGTCCTTGATCGCCTTGTATTCGATCATTACTTCCTTTAGCACACCGGTCCGCGTCAACTCCTTCGCGTGTCGCAGGTTGTGCTTTGTGGTGGCATACTCGTCCGAAAGGGCATCCAGGAAGAGGTGAAGGACGAACGTTTCGTTGACAGTTATTCCTTTCTCGGTTAAGGACTTTGCGGTTTGGAGCATCTCATTTAGGGCATTTAGGGCGTTTTGGGGGTTTTCACACCTCTAGAGATCTTGGTCGACGTCAGGGAATTGAGGTCCTCTGACGGCTTTACAGATGATTCAGGGTCGTGTATGGTCTTGAGCTCACGAAGAGCTCCCTGGGGCGTCTCTGCCCTCTTCATGATTTTTTTGATCATTTTCTTTCAACGCGTGAGACAGGAAGTTCCACGCGTGGAATGCGAGCTCTACTTGCTCGCTCCGGTACTGCTGTGACAGCGAAAACTTGCTCTTTCCGCCGTTGACGGGGATCTCCAAGCTCCCGCTCTCTTCAAATTGTTCCAACAGGTTTGCCCCATTAGCTGCCATGCGGACATCATTTAGCCATTCGTTGAAATCTTTCGATTTCCCGCTGAACGTGTTGAAGAATTACAGCGCATTACTGCTGTAGGATGTGTGTAGTAGCATAGATAAAGCTGTATGATTGCTGTACGCAATGGTACGTAGGTGCGGAATAATGAGTGACGTTTGGTAGATAGCAAGTTTGGTGAGGCAGATATAGCCGATGTAGACTACTGTTTATTGAAACGGTCGAATTTGCCAGAGGCGTTATTGTTCCTGTATTTCGGGGTATCAGGTTGAGAAGAGTCCTTTTGGGATGGTCACTTTATCGGAGAGTTCACGTGCAGGAGAAGGCTCGCTGGACAGCGTGGAATAGCAGATTTATACAACAGCAGTACGTGAACTCAGAGAGGGATAGCAAGGATTGGCCAGATTGGGAGGCCAAGAAGTTGCGTTCTT